GGAAGCGATTCAGATCGGTTGAACCGTTGAACCACAACGCTCATAATACCCATGGATGTATAATAAGAACCATATTACCCCTCCTGTACCCGGGCCAAGTGACACGATGGAATTAAAAGAGCTCAGACCCTCACTTATATAGAGGTCGGAACATGTCATAAGTATAAATAGATACAAGCATAAATAAATGTAGGAATAAAAACATGAATAAATAAATGAATAAATATGGTGCAGTGTTTTCAGGGAGATTCAGCGTGTGTGCTGTGGCTCAGCTGGAAAGCAGTTGACTCACGACCGCAGGGTCCCTGGATCAACGACTGAACAATACATATTTTTTGTTGTTTATAACAGCTACAGCTAAATAAGATAATGTAGTTAATAAATGTATTCTTTGATATGGTTTAGCCTTTCTCAGGCTACAACATGGTTACGTTTATGAATATTATTAAGGAATACAAATCCCTCTTTGCAATGTTTACCAGCCTCCTTAGGCTTTTCAATCACAATCATTCAACTGGAATAAAAACAATATTGTTAACATGAAAATATGATTTAATGTTCGTTGTTTAGAGTTATTCTAAGGCAGTGGCGAGCCGTCAGGGCCCTCTAGGCCCTCTGTGAGGGCCTAAGATATTCCAAAAAATAATATTTAAAAACATTAAAAAAACTATATTTTTTAAAAATATATTTTTTTTTTATATTATTTTTGTTATATTTTTCATTAGTTTTACGGAAAAAAAACTTGATTTAATAAAATAAAATTTCCAAAGAAATAAATCCTTCGAATCTGCCTGTTCGGTCTCTGTTTGAATGTGAAGGGTTACATGAAAGAAGGTCTGGCCCTCTCTGCGATTCACAGAGGGCCCGCTATAGTAACTGAACGAGAGAGTAATGTCAAATGACAGTACAATTGACCAATCATATCTTCCCTCTAAATGGGTGGGTTTCATTATCGCGGACTTTATGACAAGTTCCGCCCGCTGTGAAACTTTTCTTGTTTCCATAGGAACAACAACTTCCTGTCAACAGCGTGAACTCGCCTTCAAAATAAAAGCATGCCAAATTACACGTAAGACATACAACTGTAACGAAAGTAACAAACACAATGCAATATCATTTTCAATGTCAAAGAACACAAATTGGGTTCACAGGTGTTGTTTTGTGTGGTAGAGGGTCGCTGTCATTGATGCGTTTTGCACCCTGGGCCGTTGTTTTGATATTCCGCTGAAGTATACGCTGAGACGTAATAACTATTTTTTTTCCTTTTTTTCGAGGGAAGGGGTGGGGGTCAGAGGGCCTAGGTATAAAGCTCACGGCTCGCCACTGTTCTAAGGCTTTACTCATTGGGAACTCGGTATGAGATAAAGCACATTATTGAGATGTCCAATCTGCCTGTTTTACACACTTTGACCAACAGGGGGTTTGTGTTCAAATGAAGCCCATGATGAAGCCTCATGAGATGAACCCTTTTGCGAACCAATTGGCTGGAAAGCTTCAAAGCTTCATAAGGCTTCATCTCGCCATCACTACTTCCTGGCATTCGGAAAACGAAGGGTGTTTCTCAATCGCGAGTACGCTTGCTTGGTAGCACATGTCTGCCGAGCATCTTGCTTCAGAAGCGAGTCAAGAATACTTCCTGGCATTCGGAAAACGAAGTGTGGAACACGCTAGCAAGTGTGCAGGTGTGCGTCATATGAGAGGCCCCGTCTTACATCTTCCGCCACAGATTTGGGGAAATTGGTCCGTGCGCAAAGCATTGTGGGGATTTTAAGACCGCGAAGTCTACTCATGTGCAGACTCGATATTTCTCCAAACGGAGTACGCCGGGCTCGGTAGATTTCCAAGTATACTGGAGATTGGAACAGTACTTCGGCGGCACTCGATGACGTAGTATGCTTGAAATAGTGGCTCTGAAGCAGCTTTACTCGCGATTGAGAAACACCCGAAGTGTGGAACACGCTAGCAAGTGTGCAGGTGTGCGTCATATGAGAGGCCCCGCCTTACATCTTCCGCCACAGATTTGGGGAAATTGGTCCATGCGCAAAGCATTGTGGGGATTTTAAGACCGCGGAGTCTACTCATGTGCAGCCTCGATATTTCTCCAAACGGAGTACGCCGGGCTCGGTAGATTTCCAAGTATGCTGGAGATTGGAACAGTACTTCGGCGACACTCGATGACGTAGTATGCTTGAAATAGTGGCTCTGAAGCAGCTTTACTCGCGATTGAGAAACACCCAGTGATTCCACCAGGTGTATATAGAAATGGTGGCTGATTATAGTTTATGTGAATTACTCATTTATGTCCAGGTCCTTCTCATTCCTCATTACATATACTGTCATAACAAAACAGCTCAATGACAGCAAGTAATAATGTAAAAGAACCGCTTTAATTAGAGCTCACCTTATTTTTCTACATATCGATTCAAGATCAAGACGGACATGCACTACATGTGCTGCGCGGATGAGGTTATTATGTAGGTCTTGTATTGCTGTATAGTATTACATGAGTGACATCAAAAACGACAATGTATGGTTGTAAAAAGACAGCATGTGATGGATACACAACATGCACATGAGATTGTGTGCATCATACTGTTTTTGGATGCATGCAGGGATTTGCGTTTTTTAATGTGTGCAAGTGAGTGAAAGACAGACAGAACATGACAGTGACAATCATAGTGGCAGGAAACACTGGCAAAAAAAGAAATGTTGAAACACACAGACTGAATGGTGGGTGGAGAGGGAATATGAAATGTTGGGCCCGTGGCAGTGTGTCTGCTCTGTCAATCTGATTTGGGTGACATTGTGTGACAGGAAGCTAGCAGAGGAGCTTCGATACTGGAGGTCATGATGGAAGTTACTGGCACATACTCATGCACAAACAAACATTCACATCTCAGTGAGAAGTCAGAAACTTCTTCTAGTTTTCACTTCTTATAAACCCTCAAACAACTAACTGGAGTTCAGACTAGCATACTGTTGGTTTTAACCCTTAAAATAAGCATGTGCACTAAAGCAAACTACTTACGTTGGATTATGAATTTCCTAAAATGTTCGCTGACGATGAGAGCCAAATCCTAACCACTAAACCACCAAGGACTTGTTTGTACACAATCAAACACATCATTCTGATTATGTACAATGTTTTTGTATTAAAGTGAGGTTGATATGGGAACTACTTTTCATTAACTTTGAGTCGATTGAGAAAAGTTCTGACACATACTGTCGATATACAGTATGTGTTTTGTATCATGACTACTATTACTTAGAATTGGAGGCCAACAGTTTAAGTACTTCTGTAAACGTGTATTAATCAAGAGTTTTCCAATCGGAGGGAACTGCAATGAAGTGAACATAATAATAAACATGCATTTCATGTGTGAGCAGTGTAGGTTTCGGTTAAAAGTGCACTCACTATTTCCCTCCTCATCCAGGCCAATGGTTTTTCCTCCCATGAGATTAAGAGTACATTCAGTTATTTTTAGTTAGGGGAAAGCTCATCTGCTGTTCCCTAGGTGAGAGGCCTGCTCATCTGATCCCATCAAGCAGTGTATATATCCCCTGCTGTCTTAGCCCACTCCCTGTACTTATTGTCATGCTTTCCTTTTTTCTTGGATTATAAACATGTTTTACAAATGTGTAAATTGGTTTCTTCCTGTCCTCCATTTCTGATTGACTAATAATCACTTTCATCAGTTGATGAGTAGAAAAGAAGAGAAGTGGTTTCGCCCCCACATCAAAACATGGTGAACCACCAGTCTAGCCTGAAATGCAGGAATCCTGTCAGACAGGTTGACAGGTGTAACCCTCGGCTGACTATGTCATTATCAATTAGCATTTCAATCAGAACCCATATTTCAAGTCTTAGTCATTCATTTTCATTTTTACACAATACATTGGAAAGTCTGACAAAAACATCACATTACCTTTTAAATTTAAAGTTGAACTCAATGAACTAAACACATAAAAACATCAGTATTCAATGTAGGGAAGCCAGGAGCTATTTTATGAAAAAGGACGGCCAAGTTAGCCGTTTCTACCATGAGCAGCACGCATGCGCTAATTGTAATTTAGCTGCCTTCATGAACACTTTGTAGAATCCGATTTTCGATACTCAAACATGAAAGTCAAAATATGTGTGTTTTAAAAATGAATGAGGCAGGTCATTCATATTCAATTAACACTGTACAGTAAGTGTTCAACACATCTGAACATCTTTCACATTAAGCTACTTTGCATTGGGCTTCCAAAGTACATTATTAAAAAATATATATATTATAAGAAAATCAAGTAGCCTATACTACATATGGAAAATGTCAACCCACATTTGTTATACTTATCATACTAACAATATTTCCTTATTTCTACATAATGTAAAGCCACCAGTGGTGGAAGAAGTACTCAGATATTTTACCTAAGTAACAGTAAAAATAATACAATGTAAAAATGCTCTGTTACAAGTTAAAGTCCTTCATTCATAATCTTACTTAAGTAAAAGTACAAAAGTATTGGCAACAAAATATATATTTAATGTATCAAAAGTAAAAGTACTTATTGTGCGTAATGTCCCATTTCAGAATAACATATATCAAATTACTGGATCATTATTTTTTTTGTTGCATTACTGTGTTTATTGTCATGGATGTTTTACCTATATCTATATGGCATTTTTTATTTCGCAGTTTATTTATATTTTACATTTGCTATTTATCTGAATCTGTGAAGTAACTAGCAACTAATTTTGTCAAATTAATGTAGAGTGAAAAGTACAGTATTGGCTTGCAAAATGTAGTGGAGCAGAAGTATGAAATAGCATAAAATAAAAGTACTAAGTAAAGAACAAGTACCCTAAAATGGTACTTAAGTACAATACTTGAGTAAATGTACTCCACTACATTACACCACTGATAGCCACACTGCTGTTGGGTTGTTCATGTGCAGTCACAGTGAATGTTCCGACAGCACTTGAATGCATCACGAACAGCAACACATTCCCAGCGCCACAGCAGAGCCCAGCCTGTAATGAGATTCAGAGAACTGCACGAGAGCGTCGTACCTGGATAAACGAGCCGAGGACAGTGTCAACCTCCCGATAAAGTCCCGGTCGGATACGGACAGAAAAGAGTCCAGTCGCTGGTAACCGGGGAAAATAAAGAAACAACATTAAAAGTGAGTTTATAAGAACAACCGAAGAGGATTTACCAAGTGGACACGAGACGCGAGTGGCACCGTGGCAGATGTAAGATGACATCGATAAATGTTGATTGAACAGCTGGGATGTTAATGGTATGATGAAAACAGTATCACACTAAGGAGTGACTTCAAAGCAAGACAGGAATGGCTTGATTTCTCACCCGGGAGAGCGGTGGGACATTACTGTCTTCATGTTTCTGTGGAAGAGAAGGAAAGTTTGCTGCGCTTCACTCGGATACAAGTCTACTTTCTGAGAGGAATTACTACTACTGCTGTGACTATTTCTTATACCAGTGGAAGAGCCCGCCAGTTTTTTGGTGTCGGCTCATAAACTGATTAAAATGTCTAAGCCTGTGCTAAAGAAAAACCACTGGACCTCCAGAGTGAACGAGTGCTCCGTCTCCAAAGATGCCCGCGGTGACTTGAATGTGCCACTGCGCGGCGGCGCGGAGAACGGGGAGTTTGCCTACATTGGGCAAGTTAACGGGGATGTCGTGCTTTACAAAATGGGAAAATTAAGTGAAGGAGAACTGCTGCTGGAGGTGGAAAACCTATCGATTTCGGGATTACCCTTGTACGACATACAGACAGTGATAAAGAACTGCAAAGGGGCCGTCAGGTTGAAAACTGTCAGACAAGGTAAGGACGCGCCAAACTCCATTCAAACTTTTAACCTTTAATGTTACAAAGCTTTCTGAAAACAGACAGGGGCTGAATTTGTGTGTGCTATGAATTGAATTGAAACAGGAGGCAGCACTCATTAGTTCGGCGTTCATTAAATGTACAATTAACCTTAAACGTTTGTCAAAAAGGAACGTACAAGTTGGCTTTGCTTCCAGAAAGTAGTCCTGTGTGTTAATTCGAAGTTGGAAATATGTTGAAATAAGTTCTGCCAGGCGAGATATTGGTTTATCCACCTGAGAAAACCTAAGAAGTCGTGACATTGTACACCTGTCGATGAACATGGCCTTGTTAAATTGACAGATATTTTACTTTGTTCACATTTGAAAGAAATAGCACCTGTCTGGACCAGGTGGTTGGGACAAACAGCACATTGTTTATCCAGGTTCATTTTTTTTTAACAAGCCTTTGGAATGGCTCACATATTGAATACCAGTGATGTGTCAGTGAACAGCATTTCAAGATTTTATTGTCATATAACAGGCAGCACTGTATAATGAGATTCTTATGTTCAACTCTCCACACCTAAATATTAAGAACAAATACACACAAACAAAAACAAGCATATAAGAACAAATAATAAAACATTTTAGTTTATTAGACATCCTATTTTACAGGGAAACAATGTATTCAACACCTGAAACACTCCCATCATTTAAGGAGAGGTAAGCTAACCTTAAGGCTACACTATAAAAAAGAAAGCATTACTCTTTATTTTGGCCATGTCAAGGCTCCAGTATCAGTTGAGTCCGCAAACAGGCTAGACTGGCCACACTTCTACAGGAATGCAGCATCAGTCACCGAACAGGAAGGCACACATCAGGCAGTGCAGCTGGTCTGGCTGCTCCATGGTCAGCTTGACTCAGCAGGGCTGTGCAGTCTGACACTGAGCCGCTCTGACAGGCTCCCAGCGTGCCAAAGCAGTCCGCTCAAGGGATGCCCCGAGCCAGCCTGGGCCACACCAACTTCCTGTAGAGGCAGACAAAAGAGCAGTAACTGTTCAAGGACAATTTCACATATTTAGAACCTGTGAACGCTGGCAGCAATATTGTTTGGGTGTGCTCAGAAGTGACAGCGTGCTTTTTAAAGGCGCTGTGTGTGGAGTTCAACATCAACATACCTTTTTAATTTTAGGGCAGTATTACTAGACTACAAATGTGGGCTGCTTTTGTTTCTTTTGTACTAACATATTTCATTTGTCATCACTTTGACACAAATCACGAAGAACACATGGACAATATTTCCAGTGAATAAAAATAAGGAAACAAAATACACAACATGCATGTAAAGTGAAGGAGAAAACCTCTATCTGAGCATACTCTTCGGGATGGGGAGCATTGGAGCTAATGGAAAACCCAGCTCTATTTACTTTTTGCTCTCTTATCTTGGATTTGTTTACCACTCAAATCACCTGATGTATTGTTCGTTTGGAAGAAAAAGGCTTCAAACTTTGTAATTCAAGCAGTTCAAAGTAGTTTTTTAAACTTAGCACCACAGTAACTATGAGCACAAATAGGGCATAGTGAAGATAAAAAAAGGCCCTGCACACAGGTGTTTCATTTATTATCTAATTACGCCTCTACTTAAGCCAAAGATGGGCCTAGATTTCCTGGTCACTATGTGATGTCACCAAAAGGCCAGTTACACACATTTTGACTTGTCATAGCAGGACAGGCGCAGGTGTTACCAATAACATTAACGATGGCTCTGTTGTATTCAAGTGTCCCAGTGAGGCGTGACAGCGAGCCAGCAGGACCGTCGTCATTCAGATTGCTCACAGCTGTGCTTTTTCCTACTGGGCCTTTTTTCCATTTGTGAAATGAGCCTTTTATAAATGTGCCTTTTTATACTAATAATCGAAGTGTCTGCTGTGTGTGTGTAAGTGAAGCACAACTAACAGGACAGGTAAAGGGGTGTCAATCAATCTCAGTCTGTTATCTACCTCACAGTATGGAAAGGAGGTCTATTCAGGTAAAAGTCCAAACATATGTGCAGGTAAATTATAGGAAAGTGCTGTTTTTTTTTATTTGAATTGATTCAGTAGATAAACGACAACAACACGTATTGTTGGCTACTTTTTTATTTCCAGGAGATGTGTTTATTTGTTCTCTCAGGCTTAAGTCAAGTATTGTTTCTGGCGATTCTCAATTGGGACGGGTGCTACGGGTAGCTCACCTTCTCCCATTCAGTTTCTTCAGAAGTGTGTTTACTATTAAAACTCTTCCCGCAGAAAAAAACAGCAGTAAACAAATGAAGAAGTTAGGTTAGGTTAAGTTGACCTATTTGTCTGTCGTTGTGCTAGTATCTAGTCATTTTATCAATGGCTCATGTAAATACTTTAAAAGGGATAACCAGTTCAAACAAGTCGGGGCTGATTTCACCGACTCCCCCCTATCCTTTCTGCACTATGTAATTACTTTAGACAATGGGAGGAAACTCACTTCTCACTTTAAACGAATCAGAAGTCTCCCAACTCCCCCTTTTTCCCAGGATCCATCTGGGGATGTCGGGTGTCACCGCCTTACAACGTTACATGATCAGAATCCATTTCAAGTTTTTAATAATTCACGCTGTCTGGGAATCTCCCTCTCTAATCAGCCTTAATTGGGAAAATATGCTTTGCAACAAGGGCCATCTGTAAAGTCTAAGTGACCTAATTTTACCCAGAGCTTGTGCCATTTTCTCACTTTAATCAAGTGGGATGTGTTGAGAGCTACTGCTGCAGTGTCTCGGCTCTCTGATATGCACTGAGCAGTTACTGCTTTTGAATGCCAACTGTATAAAGAGACTTGTTTAAAAGTGTTAGGTCAGGGCCTTCAGAAATCTATTCAGACCTGTGAGCACACACACACACACATGAGTAATTCCAGTCTGAGCTGATAAAAGGCTCTAACCAGTTTTGCCACAGAGATGTATTGTTTGCTCTGGGTATCAGTGAAAAAATACCTGGCACACACACACACACATTCACTGCAGAACACACACTGGGAGCCCAAGCCACAAGAAGTCCACATAAAGTATTGATTGAGCAGAAGCTGTGGGAAAAAAATAACTTCATTATGTAATATTGCTTTCAAACGTGCACTCTCACTCCTTTTAAACCAGCAGCTCCCTGTCCATTATGCACTTCAATAATGCTATAATGACAAAGTAAGTGTGCTGTGTTTGCAAACACACATTCACATACTGATGAGATTTGTCAATCTCATAAACACTGGAGCTTCTTTATGGATAATCTTCCTAAGAAGATGACCTTATGCTCCACTTAGATCACTGTGGAAAACAAACACTATCACCACAGAGAGGTTTCAGATTGAGAGCAGATTAGTGTCATGCTCTGTCTGCTGCTTAGCACGCATGTTGTGTTGACAATCGGGGAAGTTTCTATAATCCTGTTGTTGCATGCGGACAAGAAGATGGCAACTATTAACCTCTAAATTTGAGATTAGGCCTAAGTGCTAAGTCTTTTATTAACCACTTTGGGGCTATTTTAAAACAACTTTATTTATAACACATAGAACATGAGTACAGTGACAAACTCAATGCTGTCACACAAAGAGTCCTGTCTGAAAGTCAATAACACCTCCTAAGAAGAACGTTTTTGTATTCATCCATAGTTCAGCACAACAGTGACAGGCTGTTTTTGATGGCCAAATGGGCGTTGTTTTAAATGTTGCTCTCGTAAGGAATTATGGGATACCGTCATCTACTTTCCTTCGTAAAGTGTAGTCCAGAGTACACTGTGATAAAGGAGATAAGAAATGAAGCATTCAATCACCTTTTTTGTAATTGCTGTGGGTTGAGGGTGTGTGTTGGTCATATCAGGTGATTGTAACCAACACATGTCTTTACAGGGACTGTTTAACCAATCTGTGTGTTGGAATATGTGGCTTTCCTGGACATGAGAAATAGCACAGTGGCTCAGAGTTCATGGGTTTCCCCAGGCAGGAGGCATGCACCATGTGTGTCGCCCGGGCCAACAGGATTTGCTGCATGTGACCACATTCTCACACACACACACTAGAAATTTGAATCCTCTTCACGTAAAAACCAACCGCTGCTTTCCCAGACCAATCGGGAATTGAGAAACAGCTTTGTAAGAGAGTATTTCTTCCCATGCTGCATTGTATAATGGAGCTGGTGTGATGTACGAGATCTCCCCAGCTATACATTTCTCTAAGCAGAAAATCTTCCCTCTTCCATAGTGCGAGTCGCTAACCAGGGCTGTTCAAATGTACAACACCGTGCTACTGCCTTAACTCCAGGCTCGTGTGTGTATGTGCGAGCGTTTCTGGCAGGCATTGCATATGGAAGTGTTTATTTCCTTTCTCTCAGCAGGAAGTTGGACACCGCTCCTTGCCCCAACCCACCTTTGTATTCTCTGACAGCGGTGGAATTTGCACTTCCTCCCTCATAGCAGACTTTAGGAAAGATCTCTGGCTTCAATTTCAGGGCGTGTGTTTATATCTATTTGTGTGTGTGTGTGTGTGTGTGTGTGTGTATGAGAGCATGAAAGAGGGAGAGAAGGAAGTCATATTTGTACAGAATAAGCATCTACTTTGAGCTGAATCTGTGTTCATGTGAGTCCGTGCTCAGCTTAAGCTCTGCATTTAATACAGCGGAGGAACACTCGGTTAGCAAGTATATAGACCGTGAAATGCTGTCTCACTAATGCAGCACTTTTTGTATTCCCACTAAAGAGGGACATATGCACATGTGCGCATGCCTTTTCTCTTGTTTGCTGAAGAATAGCCTTTCTTTCCTAATTAGCTCAAGTGTAGGTTTGTTGTATTGAGTGTGAATGAGAATTGGTCACACTTGGCACTTGCGGTTACACACTCTGTCAGAGGAAGAGAATGGCCAACTAATTTATGATAGTGAGCTTTAGTAGGGCGGGGGTAGGCGGCAAGGCCTGTTCCTTTCCTTTCTTTTGAAGACTGCTCTTATCCACTGTCCTT